CCACAAACATGTAACAAAAGAAGCACAGTGCCCTAACATTGAGCATCCATTGTTATTGCACCCTGCTCCTTTTGTTAGATGTGCATAGTGTGTAACTATTAAAGGCTTAAAGTTAAATCATGTGGCCTCCAAGAAATGGAAGGTGGCAGGGACTTTTTTTTTTACCTTTCCAGTAAATTAAGTGATGCATAGATTTTTTTTGGGCAAGTGTTCCTTACATATTGCACATCACTACTTTTCCCTTCAGTGGTAAACCAGCCATCAGACACTGTTAAATTTAGAAGGGAAATTACTGAAGTGGTTACATAGAAAACACTGGGGAATTTTTCAGGCCAGTCTCTTGGTTTATGCACAGGGTGTCTGGTGATATCTGGGTATGGAACTCTTTCTCTTTCAACTGTTCAACGTGTTTGTACACGTACAAGAGTTGTGTTTCCTTCAGCTACTTGTACCGTTAGCTCTTCAGTTTTTGTGGTCCACCTCTGTTCATTCAGTTACACTATAAATGAATCTGTCTAACCTGGCTAGCAGAGTTCCCGGTAAGCCTGAATGACTGGCTGCTGCTTGAAATTACACGTCTATGGTTGCGGCTGCAGCAACTTTCCTCAGTGTTGTGTGTAATTTGAAACCGTAGCCAAGTAATATGGACATGTACAGGTATGGCTTTAGTCACTTGTGTCTAAGTCTGCTGTTGTCATACAAATACTTTTTTTCTTGTCTCAGCTGGGGTCAAAGTTGCTGTACAAAGGGAAGCTCGGAATTCTGTTCAGCTATTGTACAGGTTTTTTTCTATCCTGTTTGTATTCTAAAAATGTCAACTAAGCCAGTATGTCAGAAATTCAAACGTACAGTAAGCAATAGTTTCCCTTCTAAATTTAACAGTAAGTGAGCACTGACATGTAATATGCTCGGTGTAAACAAGGCAAGGTTGCAAATCGCGTACATGTACATATACATGTACCTGTTGCAGGTAATAAGCTGAATGACAGAAAATGTGCTGTTTGTTATGTGAATGTTGTATTTGGGCATTGCATTACATCACCTCATATCTCATTCCCAGATATTCTACAAGTATGCACGTTTATATTAAAATATCTGCGTCCAGGAGTAGAGCTGTAAAATAGAGGGAGTCACGGCAGCTCCAGATTTTGGAAACAAAGTGGCCTGTTCATCATGTGTAGAGTGTGCAGCTTCCCTATTCTGCTAAATTGTGTACCTACATGTACATGTATTGTCCATGTGCACTGGCGCATACACCTGCCAATTTGTCTACATTAATGGTGACACTACATCAGCTCTCTTTATGATGCAGGGCTCTGCCCAGAAGGTGCCCAAACTTCTCCACACGGGGACCAACATGTTAGCTAATTTGTAGAAATGTAGCTGATTGGTTTCAATGGTCAGTGTTAATGTTAACCGTCTATTGCTGCATTTCTTGCTCAGCATGTTGTGTTTGGGGGGTCTTTTGCAATCTGTTACTCTCTTTTTTTAATGAAGGTAGTCATCCTTGATTGGGGTTAGTAGATTCTAAACTAAATAGAATTTACTACATGTAGCAAGGACAGAAATGTGTCTGAAAAGTAAGTTTATCCACCAAACTTTAATGGAATATGAAGGATGAGTAACTAAGTCTTAATTTGATGGGTTTCCTAACACCCTGGACATGGTGACAATAGTGTTGTCTGTTCCATACGTGTACTTGGGATTTCCCAACTACAGTACAATGATGCTGTCTGAGAGCCTTGTCCTTCCTGAGCTTCCTCTATAATGGACTACCTGTACATGTACATTCCACCACTGTGCAACCGTTGCTTAACCATAACTGCCAGACTTATCCATGAGCCCATGCATATTATGTGCTGCCATCACTTGGTCAGTGTGTTGGGAGGGTTGCCGATGACTGATAGTACAACTTTCCATAGTGGGGGAATGAGCACACTGCATTTTGTCTGATCCAGCAAAGGCATTCCTGTGTGTCTTTGCACCAACTGCATTACCGGGTCATGGATGGATGCCACTCCAAATAACATGTGTATTTTCTTCCTCAACTTAAATTTGCTTATCGTTCCGGGTCGTACACTGAATGCCAATGAGCTTTTGTGATGGAAATGAGACGTCAGATGGAATCACTTTGTTGTTCAATGATCTCATGTAATCAAATACATGTATGCAGTAGCCTTTTTCAAGCTGTGAAAATTTGTTTATTTCTTCTCTTCCTGTAAAATAAATCAATATATATTGATATCAATATATATTGATATCTATATATATCTTGCAACCGGGATTTTCACAAGAATGTGAAACAGATAATTATGAAGCCAGCGTTGAACTAAGGACCTGTCATCCTGACGGTCATTAGCTTAGAAAGGTTTCGTAAAGCCAGATTCACAAACTTACACGTAAAAATCTGGTTCGCCGTGATTTTATTCTGGCAGAGCAATTCATTGCCTACCCAAAAGCCTAGATGATCAAGACAAGCCCAACAAGACCGCAATTTTTTTTTTTCATTTTCCGTCGGGTGTGTTCATGAATACATGTGTACCAGAAAATCCATCCCTCTGCCCAAAATGGACCAACCCATGGCATTGTTACCAGGAGTTTTTTGCATGTTGAATATAGTGTTTCATTACTTTTGTTGCGTTTGCTTTGCAACTCATATGTATGGCCTCTTAGAAGTTGGCTCCATAAGCATGCTTGCCTATCAGCTTTTATACATGTATGCGCACACCGCATACGCGTATGTGTAGGTAAGATTTTTGATTTTTATGTCTCCATTATATATTTTTGGCTGTGCAACATCACAATCCCAACCTGTTTTCTTTGAATTTGAAAATGACATTGCAGATTTGGTAGATGTTGTCCTTGATGTTCCATATGTTTGATGTAGAAAAAATGCAAAATTGTAATAGAACTGTTTTCATTGTGATGGTGGTGCGGATGGAAGATGGGTCGGAGTGGGGTGTCAACTTTTAAAATCCATGCTAGTGTAGACTTTGGAGGTACACATACTTGTAGGTACATACATGTACATTTCTCCAACACCAGTCTCAACTGACCAACGTGAATATTTACAGCAACATAACAACCACTGACTTTCCTTCAATCAATTAATAGTTCCCTAAAACAGATTCTGTTTCTTGATATTTATTCATAATGATATATCTATTCCATGATGGTGGCTTACATGTACATGTATGTTTTTCGAAGAAGTTACGATTAAGTAACAGAAGTTCACTTTGTATTTTTGGTATACACAGACACAGTGCAATTATTCCTATCTCGTTCTCTTGGCGTATGGCACCTTTAAGCAGAAGACTGGAAAGATGGAGTCAATTACAGGTTAAATGGAGCATTTTCACAAAATGAGGCCATTTTGTTTCCTTTGACAACAAAATCATTCTTTTTACATGTATCTTAATTTATCCATAAATAAAGTGCTTTAAAGGCCACCATAGATACCATTTCTTGATACCGTGATAATAAAAACTCCACCTCCCCTTGCATATAGTGCACACACAGATTTTCTGAGCTATCACAGAGGAAAATAAATTGAACCACAAGCCACAGTTTATGCATCAAGTTAAACAGTAAGAGTTACACAACAGCAAGGAGAGGATAATTCAGGAAGGTGAGCGAGTAATCTTCATTTCGATCAGGAAATATGATACCGGTAACTACATGTACATGTACTTGTACTGTGATAATAGAGAAACCCGTCCTACAGTGATTGTGGATTCAGACACCAGCTTGGACATCGATCTTACTCATTAACCCTAACCTTCCCCAACTACACAGAATTGAACACCAGTAAAGTGTGTGAATTTGAGATACTGGGTACTGTACCCCTAAACTGCTTGTGCTTTAACATGGGTTTAGGCATACCCAAAATAAACAGAATCCAACAGTTTTTGTGCACATTTACCATATGGTGTTGGAATTTGTGTGAATGGGTATGGTTCCTAGTAAATCACTCTGGGAAGTTAGGGTTAATGAAAGATGAACCCATTCCGGTCTTGTTTTTCTCCCGTGTCTGTTACACTGTTGTCCTGGAGGGGTTTCAACTACACACATATAGTACGTGGGTCTTACACTGCTAACGGTATGAGCAATTTGAGTCATGTACATGTACACTAGTGCATCTATGTGCCCCACACATAATGTACATGCACCTTGCATGCTGTACAAATAATTCTCCCTACCGTCTGTAATACCGGTAGTGTTTGTATCATGTCTTAAAAACTACAGGTACATGTACATGCAGAGTCAATCTGCTCAGCAATTCTTGTTGCTCTTGAATGTTTGGCCTACATGTTCATGTTTGTTCCTCCAAGGGTATATGGTCAGGGTATTTTTTCATTGCAGGTTTATTTTTTTTTGGGGGGGGGAGGCATCGCCCAAATTGATGCAGAATTTTTTGGCAAATTGAAACTCCGACTGCATTTTTGACATGGCTATTGCATGCAGAAACATAAATGGCGCACAACCTTGTTGCATTTGTAACCTATGGGGGAACTCGCAAAACAACAGAAATCTCTAACTAAACCAAGGATCTTTGAGGGAAAGGTTGCAGGAACTTTTAGGTTTAAAAAAAGGAAAGGCAAAAGAATTTATTTACGGAACAACCAGATGAAAAATCAACCACTTCCACTAAACCTCAAAAACTAATTGAAATTAAAATTACAGGTATTCTCCTTACAGGGAGCAGACCCAGTACAAACTTCGGCTTTTTGTCTGATCTTCCCCATACTATGTTAAATTTACTTTTGTTCACTTCTACATGTATATATTATTTAACTTGAAATAAATACGGCGAAGTCAATTCAAATAATTCACTATTTGAATATTCAACCTTCAATGCAATATCTGAATATTTGGTCATTTTGAATTGTAAGATTTCTGTCGTTTTTCATTTGAATCTGCTTGAAACAAGCCCACATCATGCAATTTTTCTCATTTAGAATAAAACAAAATTCTCCCTTTTAAGTTTTCATAAATTTTGCATTCGAACATTCAAATTCAGAACTATGAGAGATATGGTTATAATATTCAGGTTTATCTGCCTAATACCAGTACATGTACATGTGCATGTACCGGTAAATGTACATGTTTATGTACATGTACAAGTATGTTACAGGTACCGGTATATGTACGTGCATGGACATATACATGTATGTGGTCCAAATGTCATTAAAGGGACTGCATGTACAGGTATACAATGCAATCAGTTTACTACAGCCCATGACATTGCACCATTGTGTTTCAATTAACTTATTTTCAGGTTTTGTGAAGTGCTACATGTAGTTTTAGCTACGTGTTGGAGCCTGCTTGGTTTTTAGGCTAATACAGTACATACTGGTACAAAATGGTGATGTCATCCCAGGCACTGAACATAAATGTTGCATTGATCATGTTGATTTGTGTTCATGAAAACTGCTGGATTTTGCAGTCATAAATTCTCACTTCTTAAAGAAATTTATTGTTGTGGATGTATTTACAGTGTACATGTACCGGTAAGCCAGTGATTAACCATTGCTAAAATCTTTTTCATAGAGCAAGTATAGACTTCAAAATTTGAATATGGAAACATTTGAATTTAACAGTATCTTACTGATTTACATGACAATAACAAAGCCTCAGATGTCTGGAAACGCTTGGCTAGTTCATGCTTTAAAACTTGTGCACTTTTCAATACAAACTCCAAAAATCCTAGGTTTGAATACCTGTACATTGAAGAAGATGATAAAATTGGACAAAAAGTGGATCTTGTAAAACTTTATTGCACGGATCCTTTAAATTCCAAAGTTCAACTAATTGACCGCAGGCCCTTATGTCAGGTAAACCCACACACTACAGCCTACCAGCAGCTTTGCACTGTATGCATGTAAATGAACCTTACGAAGCAAATTTGGCCTACTGAATACCGGTTTATTTTCAGTTAATGTGTACATGTATTTGTAGATTATTGTTATATAACACACGAGTGCTTTGCACACTGATGCATACACCTCAGAGCAGACAGTACGGAAATGTTGAAGTACATGTAGATGTAGATGTATGCGGCGGCTCTTGTGCAAGTTTGTCTCCAACATTATGGTGAACAACTAGAAGCTCTGGAGATCTCTCATCTCTTGCTTTGAAACGTAAGCACAATAGAGTACTTTTCAACCTCGACTGCAAGATTTTGTTCATGCACGTGCAAAGTCAAGGCTGATCTGGCTCATTGTGGGTTGGTTGCATTCATGGCCTTTTTTTTTTTGTAATTTTGCACTGTGTATTTCCTTGCTGATGTTTCATGCATGTGATACATCATTGAGACAATGCAAGTTGTTTGGTCATGCTGTTTAGAGTAAACAAGCGTCAACAAGCATCAACAAGTTATTCAAGCATATTTCTGCAAAGATTTTTTATTTACAATGTTAATTAGGCTCCTACATATCAAATTCAATGTATTACATCTCTCTGAAATGATATTTGAGTGTTGAAATTTGAGCGACAAAGTTGAGCCTGTTTGTGCAGCCCAACTAGCCACCATCTTGTTTTTGTGTGGACGGCAGAGGAAAGAAAGATGGCGGCCCCTATAAATCATGAAAAATTTTCATTTTTCTGTGAGAATCTGGAAGCAAATTTGGTGTTTCTCTAACACAGTGGCGGGTGTTAGTGTCTCTAGAATATGATAAAACCACTTTTAAATCCGTAGAGGGTATTTTCAAGTTGTTGATGCTTTGTTGACGCTACTTGTGTGTGTTGACGCATGTTGACACTAAATAGCATGACCGAAGTTGTTACCCAAAGTACATGTCACACAGGGCTTCTGTATGTGTATGGTACATGTAGTGATGTACATGTCAGCAATGGTCTGTTCACCCGTCCGTCTTCTAAGTTACATGTAATTTATGACATCGTCCTAGTCCAAGTGACCTGAACCCAACAAATCACCTTTTTTGGACATTTGGACATGGTCTATTGCCCGACAATGTCCAAATGTTAAAAAAGGTGATTTTTAGGGCCCTTAACCTACATGTACGTGTACCTGCAGGATGGTCTTGCTGAGTTACTGTCTTGCTCAAAAATTGGTCAGGCTGAGCCAATTTCAGTTACTGAATATTTGAAACTTTGACGATCCCATCGATCGAATCTTCGAGCATTTGGGTGTACCAGTATTTAATTCTCACAACACACATTTGTGTGGTGGTCTACATGCACATGTACAGTATCTTACAGAGTTTCAAGACAGGGGTCCGTTCCCTAGATAAAGCAGTAGTCTGATAGTTCCGTAGACTTAATGCCAAGTCAGTTATTAGTTTGGTTTTGTTCTTTATGGTACATGCTATATCTTTGCAATCCACATAGCAAACGATGTACATGTACATGTGTATTTTTGCCTTTGAGCAGGGACAACGTTGTTTGCCTCGTCCCCCATGTGCGAATGATGGACCGTTCTGTTACATGTAGATTTAGATAAGCTGAAACCCAGCTAATTATGTTGTTATCTTACATGTATATTAGAGCCATGATTGATTTCGGCTGAACTTTGCAAACAAAACATGACTATCTCATGACTTGTCAATGTTATGATCAAGTCTAGTAGTCCAACTTCTGCTCGATGTCACGAGTTGATTTACATGTACATGTACAGGTATATCTTTAGTCCCACTTGGGGGCATTCACTTTTGGAGGGGGACACGTTGGGATCTGAACCACTTCATTGTCATGGAAAAAAAGGTAAACGCTGGCCAACCAAGATGGAGTCGATGGACTATCACCAGATTTTTTCCTTCCCTAATTTCTATTTGTTTTTTTACTTCTCTAATAATCAATCAAATATCTGAACATTCAAATGTTCGACAGAGGCCTGTGAATGAGTGTTACATGTAGAGCCCCTCAGAAATTGGTACTGGCTGCCTGGTTTGTATTTGAGTGTAAATATCGGATTCTGCCATTTGTGCAAAGGAGTCAGGTACTGGTAGCAGCGAGGAATTTACGGATAACTACCAGCTAGCCTTGCTGGATCCACGACAGGAGATGAAAGGGGATGAGAAGCAACGGTTGCTGCATGAATCCTCCGACCAAGGTAGCCAGGACCAGGAGCACTTGATAGAAACAGGTACGGTGTCCTCATTACGCCACAGAGATGGAGGGTGAAATAACTGTGGACATCTTTCAATCGTTATGTTGCACATTGTTGGTACCGGTAGTTTAATACCGGTAGATGAGTGATGCTGTGAACTTTTGTAATGGAATTTAGCTCTTGAAGCAAATGTTAGAGTGCATCAGAAATTAAGCAGATCCTTTACTCCGAGTGTAGTCTTGACGGCTTTTATTTACCGAATTCAGTGTCCAAATCATGCCATTGAAGAGCTTTGGTAGACACTACATTAAAAGTGATACCAATAATGAATGGTTTTTACACCCTTTGTATTACATTGGAATCTGTACCTTTATACGTACTGATATATCTGTTTGATCTTCAAACAAACAAACATGATCGTGACATCCCTTAAATGACTGGGTTTTTGTTGGAACTCTTGACCTCCTAAAATCATTCTTGAGCTCTTGATTCTGTTTTCCAAAGAAAGACGGCCAATGCAAACTCAAAACAAAACAAATAAATTCCCTATTTGATATTCAACCCAAATCAAGGATGGTATTATCAAGTGTGTGATTAGGCAGATTAAACAACTGACATGAAACTGCTAATAAATCTTTTGTACTGTCACGAGCCAGCTACATGTACGTGTACATCATTGCAAGGTTTCCACAGAGTTATTGCAATGAGAACCTCCTCTCTGGGACTTGATGGTAACTGCAGAAATCTGTAATAATCTGTGTTCCTATTTGTGTTGTGCTTTTATTCACATCAGCATTTATCAGTTGACTGTGGGCTTGTGACCAACAGTTAAGTTGAGGACAAGTCCTGACCTATTCGTTTCGTATTGTATAAATCACTCTTTCCTGCCCTTTTGTGGCTGTGGGAACCTTGTCTCAGCAACCAGGTCAGCCCTCACAATAGCGGGCTTGCAAGCAATTCAGTTTTTTGGGTGATCATTGTCACAACTGTGCATTGTACAAGGAGCCCCTATACAAACTGAAAGAAAAGACGATGAATGATGGCTGTGCTGGATATTAACCTTGGTAATATTTCTGAAAGGTAACTGGCTCTGTCACCCACCCTCCAACATACAGCTTGAACACTTGTGAAAATGTCAAGAACAATAGGGATGGCTTTTAATTTGACCTGGGGCTTAATATCACCCTGGAAAGTGGAATTATCAAGAGTGTGTTCGAGTTTCATCATACTTGTTTTGACAGAATACTGGAAGCAAGGTTTTCAACAAATGTACATGTACACGTCTGCTTTAGGATTAATTAAGGGTCATTCTGATCTGACGCTGTGCTGACCAGAACAGAACAGAACAGTTTATTTTGTCAAATTTCAGAGTTGCAACACGTCTGTTTGTGAGACACAGTTTTGCAGCACAGTTTCTAACATAAAAGAGTGGGATGCTGGATAGATTATACAGTTTATACCCTACGTGTACTCAACATTTCAGACAGTTTGCTCTCACTGTCATGCCAGCTGATCTCATACCGGTATGCACAGACTGTACCCGTGATTTTAAGCTTTTCAATCACTCTACATGTACATGTTCATGTAAACCTCGTTTTAGTGAACGAGGCAAAGTAAGTGTGAAACAGGAAGAGAGTGTAGTGAAAATTAGTTAAACAAACCGAATCAATGCACATGCAAAGGATAAAAAGGAACTGTGCATTTGAAGGCAACTATACAGAGCACCCTCAATCACGGTGTTTAGAAAGCCGAGGTTGAAATTTCACGAGTTCAAATCCTTTCATCTTAAACTAAATATTTGTTAAGTGCGAGGGAACAGTTTTTTGAGCCAGTGTGTTGATAACCAGATAATGGTAGGGGCTTGAGATAATAATGAACCAAGCCAGAGTTCCCTTAGTTGGTTTTAAGACTGGTTGGGTGACCTGGTGACAATAATAGACCGGGCAGAAGGCCAGGTCCCTTTTTGGATTATTGGGTTCTTAACCTGTTTTAAACGTACATGTACTTGTTTAAAACTGCTCTGTCATGCTTTTATTCCCATTCATGTGTGGCCTGTGCGGTGAAACTGAGTCATTCGTCGTTAGAGCCACATTTTGAGTTCTACTGATTTCCATGGTGCAAGACTCATGGGAAAAAGAGTAGAAATGAGAGGAATCCTTAACATTGTCGCCCACAGCAACGTCCATTTTCCTCAGGAAGTGATATTTGTACTTCAAACCAATGGGTTCTACCTGCAGTCTCTACTGCAAACTTAAAATTGCTGAAAACTCATTTTCACGAGATAAATACATGTACATGTATATACCGGTACATGTACAAGTACTCACTTTTTGGATGAAAAGTCGCATGAGATTAATATTTTTCCAAATTTTTATCGATTTTACTTCATGTTTTGTGGCCTGCCCCTCTTTGCCATATCTACCGGTATGGTACACGCACAGCGTGTACCCGGTAACATGGAGAGTGCATTGTACATGTACATACTGTGTGATGTAATGCACTGCATATGGTAAGACCATTGTACATGTAGTATGAAATTCATTGGCTGCACTGCACTTCCCTATATAATGCTTATTTGGTCGGTGATTGTCAGTGGTAGGAGGCCAAATTTTATACTGAACCCAGGGAAGTGTTTAAAACCATTTTATGGTTTTTAATCAGTTCTGTATGCATGCACCGGTACAGTGTAGTTACATTGTAAAAACCACCCATTTCAAGGAATGGGTGAACTCTCTGAGATAAATGTAGTTGGAAGTAGCCTTTGTATACCATTGAATTAATATGATGGCTGAGGCACAGTAGTTGATAGACATTCAAATAGTTGGAAAACCTTTTTTGATTAACCCCAACTGTCCTCAGTCCTCCGATCTCAGAATGTTTCTACCTGCATTGGGTTAAACTTTAGATGACAGTGTGTAAATGAAATTTCAGACTAGGCCAAAAACATTGCATTGGGATCCTGACTTCACGTGTGCTAAAATGTGTTTGTTTGTTGTTGTTTTGCCTTGACAGATCCAGAGAAGCTTGGCAACTATGATGAGGCTTTGGAGAAGGCAGGTGGGTATCTTACAAAGGCGGGGCCAAAGAAGGTGAAGGGGACTAAATGATGGAAAAGAACGTTCATGTAAACCTGTACATGTACTTATGGGTGGCAGAATTTTTGTTATGGCAACGTTGTGTTCTCCAACTTGACAGGGTTTGGCAAGTTTCACGTGTTGCTTGTGATTCTGTGCGGCTGGGCCAATGCCAGCGACGCAGTGGAGATCCTGAGCGTCTCGTTCTTGTTGCCGGCAGCCGAGAAGGATCTAGAGCTCACCAGCTACAGGAAGGGGGTCCTGAGTGCTATCATCTTCGTTGGTGAGTTTGGAAACTTGCTGCTGCCCCCCCCTTGAGCTCCGCTCCCCCTCCTTTGAGGTTAATATCAGATTTTAATCACCACACACCCCAAAAGAAACTTCACCATTGATTTTGTACTGATGTATCTCACATAATCATCCCAGGGGTACTTGTAGATCCAGGAATTTTTCTGGGGGAAGGGGACTCAGGCTGGAGATTTTTTTAGTGTCTCGTTTTTGCAGACAATCGATCACAAACAATTATAAAGCATATATGTACATGTACATGCTGTGCATTCTTTACAATTCTATTGGCACACTGATTTTAGTAATTTTTCAGTTTTTTTTGCTCAGAGCAGGTGCAGTGTGCATGTGCACATGTACATACATTTACACTTAGCTGTCCTCAGATCACCTGACTTTACGTTTACCATTTTAAGCTGTTGCAAATGGAACATCGCTGTACATACAGGGCAGGAACTTCACAGAGGCATCGGAGGCCTTGATGGCCCTGGTCTTTGCCTCAATGCCCATCGAAATGTCCTCATCTATAGACAAGTTGATTTTCTAATACAAGTGCCCATTGAACAAAGTTCCTGCCCTGTACATGCAAAGTCTTACTCTGTAAAGGATTTCCTGGTTTTGTTTTGGCAGGCGTATTGGCTGCATATACAGGTCATTAAAAATCTAACTTTCTGTTTCATTGAAGATGTTTCACAGCGCTCTCAGTTTTGTCATATGATAAAAGTTCCTGAGTATCGCACCACAGACATCAGTTACCCATTCACATTGCACTGGAATATTTTTGGAATGTGGTGTTTCAAACTACTGTACATGTATTATCAGTCACAATACTGCTTGCTAGCTACCAAGCAGCGCACTATCATCCCCATTTATAAATAATTTATCAATCAAAAAGTCAAGCCACCTCAAGAATTAACAAATACTCAGTGACTTTGGGTCTATTTTTAAAATCAAAATGGAGAAACTGTGCTTGGTACACTATGTGAGAGTATATTTTAACATAATACAGTAGAACGTTGCTATACCGAACACCGCTATACGGAACATTCGGCTGTCCCGAACATCGTCCTTGGCTCCCAGTATTTTGTGCACAAAACCTACCGAACATTATGCAGTTGCAAATCAACCGAGATTTGCCACAGCATGCATCAGAGATCAATCCTGAGCGGTAGCTTCACGAGTTTTAGGATAAACTAAATATCAATTTTGTAACTCAAGATTTCATGAAAAAACAAAAATAATTAACAGATACATTTCTAGAAACCTAAAATGTGAATGCAACGGCAAAACATCACGAAAACAGCAAATCATAGTATCACAAGAGGTTGCACTTTAGTTAGACAAGAGAGGGGGCTATTCAACATTGCAACAAAACATTTGGCAGTTAATTTCACTATACCGAACGACTGCTGTACTGAACATTTAGCGTGGACCCTGTCGTGTTCGTTATAGTGGCGTTCCACTGTATTACTGCTATGATTTGCATGAGGATTTGTTCAATATTTTTGGTAAAGTGTCTTGTGTTGTTTATCTCCCTAGGCATGCTGGTAGGGGGCTACATGTGGGGAGCTCTGGCCGACATCAATGGACGTCGCCGGACGCTGCTGTTTTCCCTGACCACCAACGCTTTTTTCGGTCTCATGTCCAGTCTCTCTCAAATCTACTGGCTCTTCCTACTCATGCGCTTCATGAGTGGAGTTGGGTAAAGTAGCACATGACTAAATTGGACAAAACGAGTCTTTAGGCCATCTTTTCAGTAATGTACTTGTATGTTTTAGTTTGCGTTATAAGGAACGAATGGATTTCTTCATTTGGACGTACACGTAGATCTCAATCAGGCATCCTGGTGCAAATGGACATCACGTGGGTGAAAAATGTTGAAGGTTCCCATTGATTCTTTTGAAGGCCTTTATATTCAAAAGTGGCCTTAGTAACTTGTGACTCATTTCGTTAGGTTGGGTCGCAAAGGATTGCTGTTTGGTGGGCCAGTTCCCTTTACAGACTTAATATTGTGAACCAAGCCAATTTTGGTAACACAAATTGGTGATCAGTCATGCTTGACTCAAACATCATCTGGCTTGTATCAAATGAAAGAGAACAAAAGGGGCTTTTAACTTAAGTGCACCCTATTGGAAAATGTTTATGACATGTAGTTCTAGAGCAGTTCACCCCAAAATTCTGGTTTCCATTTTTGAGGACATCCTCTACATGTACTTTTATCAGCTGGAATCCATTTGCTTGATGTTCTAAAGCAGTTTTTAACCCCAGAACTAAAGGCAAATCTTTCCAATAGAGTCTGGTCTTTTGACTCACAAGCGGCTGCCACAATTATCCGGTTCGTAAATGTGATGTCACTTCAGTTTAAACCGCGCCCACTGCACACGTGCACTACGCATAGGGTTACATGCGTTGAGCGCCGTTTATGTGGAACCATGGAACCGGAAGTTAACGCGTAACTTCTGCGATTGTCCAATGGGAGCCTGGGAATCGTGGCGCGTCTGCCTTTGTGACAAAGTCACTTACGAACCAGATATTTTAGCCGTCGGTACGAAAGTAAAGATTATTTCACAGAGTGTTAAAAATCCTTCGCAGCTTTCAGAAGACCAGATAATAATACACGTACTACTAAATACTGAATGAAAATACAACCCTATCCAAAATTAATGGGACAAATGTCAATTTGAAACAAATTTTGAGGTAGAATTGAAACAAACCAAAAGGTGACATTTCTGCAAAGTTTGGCTGTCCATGCAAGTTGTAGGGAAAATGAGAGTGGTCTATGCTACATTTTTATATTCTGAAATAGTTGTGTGAGCATTCAGAATAAATGTATGCTAGGCAAACGCATCTGTTCATTACCGTTGAAATATCAACCAAAAAACCTTGCTGCAGTTTCTTTTATGTTTTAATATTTTGGATAGGGTCGGGGGTTCCATACCGGTGATTTTCTCCTACTGTGGAGAGTTTCAACCCAGGCAGAAGCGAGGCATGATGATCTCGGTCGTAGCCATGTTCTGGATGGCTGGCAACATAGTGGCGGCTGCCTTGGCACTTGTGGTCATTCCTTCAGGTAAGTCAGACAATTCTGGTTTGGTCACTTTCTTCATGGTGGATTAATTTTCGGCTTTTGTGGTGTGGAACAGTAACCGAAATTTTACTCACCGACAAAGATGGGATTCGGATGGCGAGTACTCAGAATAAAGTGAGTTGTACTAGTTGGTCATTCGAGAGCAATATCCTACCGGAAGGTTAGTCCTGTCAGGGTAGCCATATGCTGTCTAACACGCACTGAACATGTTCAAAATGGCACAATGCAACATATTTTGTTCTTCAGTGACCTCCGGCTGGCCTTTTTGGTATACTAAACTGGCTCATTCTATGGGTTTCCATGCTGAATGAGAGAGGGGGGTATTTTTACATCACATACATGTAGCGGTGGCACCTGTTGGGGTCTGTTGTCTCAAAATTTCACAAACTGATAAGGTTTTTATACACCTCCCACTCACTGCTGTCCACCCAGGGCATAAATGGGCACCTGCGAGGGCAATGTTTGATAAGCCATTTGCATCTAGACAAATGGCAGCATCAAGCTGTATACTTCTCAGGTAACCAAGATGAGTTTAGGAATGTTTATGTGCCTGGTGAGCAGGGATAATGAGGACATAGCACCTTGTGTGCCAGTTATTATGGATATGTGCACTTTTATAAAAACCAATCATGATCTTTGTGGAAGTTAAAGTTCACTTGCATCTCGGATTCCTTAAAAAGCATCTACCAGCAACTTTGCTCAGTGTTAATGGGAAAAAAATCCACTTATGGCTGCATTTTGTTTCCATATCTTTCCAAATCCACTTAGAATACCAGCAACTCTATTTGAGACCAATTGCTTTATTGCCTGGCCGTATGTTTATGGGCCGTCTGGAGGCTCGGTTTAGTATAAACTCAAAATATTTGCGTAACATTTCAAAGTTTAGGCTGCAATTGAAAATCCTTAATGTGTCTGTACGTTGCCATCTTTTCCTTGAACTTGAACAAAGAGAATTTATATTTCGAATGAGCAACACTGCCATCAACTGTTATTCTGTGAACAGTTCTGTAAACACCACCACTTTCTGCAATTTTGGACCAGTCTTTGTTTCTTTTACTGTAGTGCCTGGTGATTGGATTAAAACTGCCTTCCCATTGACATGCTAACCTTCAACGCTATTTCATGGTGGTGGTTGGCCAGTTGTGCGCATAGAGATTTCCATTGTTTTGTCACTGTGTTAAGCAAGCATTTCCTTCAAGGTAAACATGCCATTTGCCATGCTTACTGCTCATGGTCTCCATAAAATAATGGGGCCTCTGTTAGCATAAAATCATGTACTTAGCAAATTTGCTAGCAGAAGCTAGCAGTTTGTATGAATTGCAACCTTGATTAGCTTGATTAGCTGTTTTAATACTCATTTTGCTCTTGAGTATTTTAGAAGATGGTGAATGCATGCATACAGGTTATGTGGTTCTCTCAGTTGTCATGGTATTTGCCAATTATTTCAGAGCGGTTTTTCTTATTTTCACAGGGCTAAATGTACTCACATTTTGCCAACGTTTATTGGCAAAAAGTGTGGCTCTGCTCTCACTGAAGACAAGTCTGTGCATTTTTTTTTATATCAGCCACAGGTCATCTTGAAACATACCGGTACATTGTACATGTAGCATTTACTAGTGTGTTGCAATCTTAAATGTTAGAAGTTTAGTAAAATATTGCTAATTTATAGAACAGGTTTTGCCCTTACCCAACGTATATATTGATAAACACTGAAAACTATTGCTACGGTGTACATGTACAATAATGGCACCTGCTGGCTGATTTATATAACAGGTTTTGCCCTTACCCAACGTATATATATTGATAAACATTGAAAACTATTGCTTCATGTACAATAATGGGACCTGCTGGCTGATTTATATTT